ATGGAAGATGGATCCTTGGAGACAGGGCAATTAGAGACTGAAAGGAGCAGGTATGTTCTCTTTATTTAGCTCTAGTGAATTGTGATGTGAAATTTGACTAAAGCAGTGTTTATGTGACCAGTTTTGCTAAGCATATAGAATCTGGCAACACAATGTTTTCGTTTATATGGTGGGTCATTGGATTCTATTGGGTTTCTTCTGGTGGACAAGAGTTAGCACAAGGATCTCCTCAGCTTTATTGGTTTGTTTTGTTCTCTTGCTTCATATCTCTGAACTTCTCTGAGTGTTTGAAAGTGTTAAATTCTTAAAATTGTTTGATTGTCTTTTGTGTTTTTTATAGGTTGTGTATAGTTTTTCTCGGTTTCGATGTGTTCTTTGTGGTTTTCTGCGTTGCGTTGGCTTGTGTTATTGGCATTGCTGTTTGCTGCTGCTTGCCTTGCATCATTGCAGTTTTATACGCTGTAGCAGAACAGGTAACTTCTCATAACCTGTTTTGCGGGTTTTTTTACCTCCAAGAAAGTTGAATTTGTTCCAATGCAATTTGGTTGAAAATGCAGGAAGGAGCTTCGAAAGAAGACATTGACCAACTTACTAAATACAAATTCCGAAAGGTCGGTGATTCTGAGAAACACACTGTTGATGAAGAAGAAGAGGCACATGGAGATTCAGGAGGAGTGATGACTGAATGTGGTACAGATTCACCCGTCGAACATACTCTTCCTCATGAGGATGCAGTAAGTAAACACAAAATCAATCTCTTTTCTTGTTGTCTTGTTGATAGACTCTGCTCAGATTTTGATAGAAAAAAACCGGATTTTGCTTTCGTGAATCTACAGGAATGCTGCATTTGCCTCTCGGCTTATGAAGACGAGACTGAGCTACGAGAACTTCCTTGTGGCCACCATTTCCATTGCAATTGTGTGGACAAATGGCTTTACTTAAACGCTAGTTGTCCTCTCTGCAAATACAACATTCTCAAGAGTAGCAACTACGTAGAAGGCGAGGAAGTCTAGAAC